ATAATGTAGAATATGAACACATTGTTACGACAGCGGAAGTCACGTGACCCTGGTAACACGTGATGAGTTTCTAGAAGGATCATGACTGTTCCTGGCAACTCTAGTCTTTTCTAGGCACCCTCTTTTTTGTATATAAGCCCGGCAAATAAAGCAGAGACATAATTGCAGATGGAGAAATAGAGACAGATAATTGAGTCAAGTGAGCGGTAGTGACCATAAGTAAAGTGCGTGAATCGGTGTGAATTATAGCGTGTGTTTAAGTTAAAGTGACTGTATAAAGTAAGTGTATTACAAAGTTTGTAACCAGAAAGAATAAACTAGTTTTAATTAAGAAAGGACTTGTATCTCGGAAAGAATTTTTTACGGAAAATTATCAAACGAGCAGATACGTAACAATATCTATATATTCGTAGTTGTAAGCATAAAAGTTGTTTTTCCTGGTGCATGATTTGTTTGCTGGATGAAGTGTGGAATGAGACTTCTGCAAAACACCCGGGGGACAGGCTATGTGCCGAGATAGAGAATTTGGAGGCTGTTAGTTTCCTCCTTTCTTTCTTTTTACTTGATAACGTGGAAAAACATGACAATGTTCTTGGGAGTTCTGGCAGAGTTTAGGGTTAAATATAATTATAATCCAAGATTTTTTTCAGGTGATTGTCGTGTGAAGTTCTCATACATATACTGAATAGCCAATAAAATTGATTAACTAACTAGTAAAATGATAATGTATTTTATTAAAATGTTTTTGTTATGTTGTTTGCTCGCATGCAATATTGGTGAAAATAAAAAATTTCTTTGTATTGTGAAATAACGTCATGTCTATCTTTAATTTCTAACCACCAGTGGCTCAGAAGTAAGTCCGATGGCCCCAAATACTGAAAATCTGGTTTTGATACTCACGGTTAGCACAGCACAGATAGCCAGTTGTGTAGCTTTGTTTGAGTCAAACTTACCTACACTTTGATTTGTAAATCCAGAACCTCCTGCTATAGTTGTATCAATTAACTTACCTGATGTTTTTTAAGGGGAGTTTTGGAACACCACAGTGTTACACAACTTTAATCCAGTGAACATCCCATGGATTTTTATTAATCACTAATATTTAAGCTACAATGTGTAATATTAACTTGGTATTTCGGTGTCGTGTTTTATTTATTTATACGAATAATTTGACACCTTGGAGTATGAACTTAATTTCTTTCTTTTTGATCAGTAAAATTCATTTTAAATATCTCTAACATATTGCATGTGGGCTAGCCTTGCGGTAGTGCTCTGAATTTTAGAGCTAGCAAGCTGGGTTCGAAGCCATGTTATACTATAAAATGTTTCCTACACTTTCAATTTTGGATGCATTATAAAAGTGTCAGCCAATTCATTAGTATGAATAGTAGTAGGGTGCTGCTGACTGGCTACCCTCCCTGTGATCAGTAATTCAAAATTTTGAACAGTGAGATGATCGCCTTTACTCAATCACAGAACTGACTATTAAAGACCAAATTCAATGAGAGTGCACTTAGTGGCGTTCTAGACCAGACTAACTAAATACAATGTTCCTTAGTTCGGAAAAAACCTCGCAATTATCCAGGGCGACTTGCGATACCATGTGGTTGGCCATTCTCATTACAACACAGGCAGTGCATGAACCCTAACTATTACCTGAACAGCTCTTGAAAGACACTGTTGTCGAAATCCTGACACAATATTCTCCCCGAACAGTAACAAGTATAATCCATATCCGAGAACAGCGAAAGAACAAAGGTAGTGTTACACCTCCAGTCGTTACTTAATTTTCCGTAAATTCGTTCCGACGAAACTTTAGCGACACAAGTCCTTTCTTAAATAAAACTTGTTTATTCTTTCCGAATACAACTTTACCGATACACTTAATTCCAACAGTCGCTCTATAACAAATGCTAGAACGTCTCACGTGCTCGTGCTCGACAATACTCAATTACACACTCTCTGACTGCAGTTCAGTTATTCATTAGCTACACATTGTCCCGTCACGTTGTGACCATCTTATATATACCAGACTACCCCCAATCTAGTAATCTCCCGACAATTCACGAAGGTTCGAGAAAGAAGTGTCGTGATACTAGTCACGTGACCTCGCTGACGCAACAGTAGCATAAAAATTGATTAATAGCTTTCTCGACCATGTGCGATGTAAAACTTGTCCATATACAGAGCAAAAAAAAAGGAAGCTCAGAATAAATACTATATACATGAGAAAAAGATAAAACGCATGGTATGTTTATGTACCACAGAGGTGAACATTATCAGATGCCCCAGTGGTAAGTCTGAGGGCTTATATAGCAAAAAATCGGATTTCCATATGGGTGAAAGGCAGAGAACAGATAGCCCATTGTGTAGCATTGCGCTTAACAGCAAACAAATATAACCAAAATATTTATGAGGCAGACTTAAAGTTTAATACCAGATGCATAAATTTTTTTCTGTAGGCATTTGTGAAATATGAAAAATTTGGCACGCTAACATTTTTTTAGCAGCTACAATAATATATATAATTATATGTTACCTAATATGCGCATGTGAGGAGAGAATAAAAATATTAAGTTTTATTTCAAAACTAATGTTGCGTGATGTGTTTATAAAAGAAAGACCAAATTAATTAATATATACTCTACTTAGCAAACAGTGATTTAAATATACAGGTTCTTAATTTGTGCTAATTTTTTTCAAGTATTGGAGTACATTTTTCATTTATTTTTAACTAGTGGATGAAATATATTAGTGAAGAGTATATTCATGGACCAGCGTGCATTTAGCGAGGGAAATGTTATACTATAGTACCATTGGTAGGATTAATTATATCACCATTGTGTCAAATTTGTATTATCTTGCGTTATATATATTCTTTAAAATCATTATTTATTTATTTTTAAGTTATCATCATACTTTTATGATGGTAGTACACGTGCTTTATAAAGTTAAATGTTTAAGTTTGTGTGAGGTCCTTATATCAATCATCCACACTGTAGTCTGTAATGTACGTGGACCTTGGATTTGAAGACCGAAACACAAAAATCTTGAGATTTTAAACAAATATACCACACTTTTTTTATGCGTAAAGAAAATATTTCTCATTCTTCCCAACACTTAGTAACATAACGGAAAACATACCTGTTTGTGAACCATTTTAATTAGACATTTTGTGAAAATAATTTTTCGTTATTATTCATAATAAGAACGTCTTCCACAAGGTAAGATGACCATGTTTTGTAAACCAAAACCTAGAACGTTTATATAAAACTATGTACCTGTATTATTCCAAGCTAATAATAATAAAACTGGCCGAATGTTTATTTCTAATGTATCTGTTACAAAAATTATAGCAGTTTTAGTGGTGTAGACCTACATTTGATAGTACCAGAGCCCTGCCAAAATCTCTCTCACATGTGTGATGTCAACATCAGATTAAACTTGTATTCAAAACCTAATTTCCATTTCTGGTACTAAAGAACCACTATGAAGTACACCGTATCTCTAATAAGAAATATATATGTTAAGATATTTCATGATGCTTTTTTTTAATTGTGGACATTTTTAGGAAAAGTTTTTTTTCTAGACACAACATTCCTCACCTGGGAATGTATGGTCTCCCTGTCTGAAAATGTGATTTAAAATACTAACTCTCACTGTTTACTTCTGCTTGTCAGATGTCACTAGCCTAATGGAATTGTGGTAGGGTGAAAAATTTGTCAACTTGCTTCATATGTACTCATCTTAAAATCATTTAACAGTTTAAAAATAAATCCTCTTACAAATGTTTAGTAGTAAAAAATGGAAGCAACATACCTGGGAGCCACATTTCTTTGGTCTTGTCTTTGTTGACTACTACCTTGTATTGATTATGAAGCTTTTCGAAGTTGCAGGTGTTCTTCAACTAAATGTCATTATGACAGTGGTTCAGGTGATTTCTGGGAAGATGTTACATGCTGTAAAATCCAATAACATTGTGAGGATGGATGTAGTAATATATGAAATTATTGTTGCAACATTTGCTGTTGTAATGGTGTCTCCCTGTACTATTCCCAGAAACAGATAGAATGCACTTCTTGTGGTTCCTGTGCATGTATTAAAGATCTCACCCTTTGACTGTTTCAAATATCAGTACTGCCCTTATAACCATTCTGCATTTATCTTATTATCTGAAAAATCTCCATTCAACTGTTTCACATATTTTCCAAGTTTTGTCAGATTATGTGTTTAAATGTAATGATAATGTTTAACTTAATTATTATACATGAAATGTTAATTATAATGCTGTGATAAGCTTGAGAAATTATGAAATAAATAGTCTGTGTTTAGATTGTAATAAATATTAGACTAATTGTTGTAATTATTACCGTAATACATGTTATCTGCTGATATATGGCACAAAGTCAAATTGGGATTTAACTCGATCCGCAATAGAGGTTCTTCATTGATTTTTTTAAAGTTAAATTTGAAGCTCAAAATCTCCAAAACAAACTGCATACCTCTGTTTATATGTTTACATATCCTTCTTTCTTTTGTCATGCTACAGCATTCCAGCTCATTTCAATTCCTTTTTGATCTTGTGAATGTTTTAGCAAGGCTCCATGAATATTGTTGGATCCTTTAGTATGGGTTTATGGAAACCTGATGAAACGAGATTGATTTTAGCCCAAGATATGTACTTTTGTGTGTGTGTGTGTGGGTTTCTAACCAGATCTAATCTCAAGTCTAAGAATGTTTTCTGAAGAAATAAAAAACTACTTCCCACTTTCCCAAAAGCATGGATAAAGTTAAGGTAGTTACTGTGTCATTGTGGTGTTTGACATCATGTAACTCCTGCAATGTTTTAACACACTGATTTTGTTCTTCATGTATGCTTTTATCTACAGGTTGTTTTCATATGAATTTACTGTGTCATTGTGGTGTTTGACATCATGTAACTCCTGCAATGTTTTAACACACTGATTTTGTTCTTCATGTATGCTTTTATCTACAGGTTGTTTTCATATGAATTTACTGTGTCATTGTAGTGTTTGACATCATGTAACTCCTACAATGTTTTAACACACTGATTTTGTTCTTCATGTATGCTTTTATCTACAGGTTGTTTTCATATGAATTTACTGTGTCATTGTGGTGTTTGACATCATGTAACTCCTACAATGTTTTAACACACTGATTTTGTTCTTCATGTATGCTTTTATCTACAGGTTGTTTTCATATGAATTTACTGTGTACCAAATTAGAATGATTTTATTACAATATAGGGTTAAAGAATTGGTGGTAAAAAGATCAAATAAACAAATATTTGTGAGTGGATAAAATGTCAAGCTTGACAAGCTACTGAGAGTACATGCTTAACCTGAGCTGTAACATTATTATAGAATTATAATCTCTCAAGGCACATCAGATAATGATAAAACATTCAGCTAGATAGAAGCAGTTTTTAAATTTTGATTGAAAACGTAAAGATTGCACACTTCAGAGATATTTTCAAAATTATAATCTCGTATGTTTGGCAAGGTGTACCTTTGGCGATACTTGAGCTATTTTTCTGAAATTTTGAAAAGTCGGAGAGATGAAAAGAGTGACTGAGTTGACGTGAATGTCCAAGAAAGGAACATACTTTAGAAATACTTTTTATCAGAAGCTGTTTCTTTAATTTAAGCAACTATCTCACCATAGACTTCTCAAACCTTCTGCCAAATCGGTTAATTGTATCTCTCTCTTGTATTCTTTTAATGAAACGATTTTTCCAAAGTCATCTCTGACAAGAACAGATATTTCACCGACAATTAGTTGAAGTTATTCTTCCCTACTTTTTATTTTGTACTAGTGTTATCAAGACTGCAACATATTTTAAATACATTGGAAGTTTAGTTAAGAGGAAAACAATGCTTTGAATTTACAGTCAGTATTTACAAATCATGAGTTTCGATGTTTATGCTGCAGGTTTTATTTGTAATTACAGTGTGTTAACTTCTGAAGCATAATGATTTTCTGTTTTGTATTTTTCAGGTCCTATGAAATCCTTTCGTCCGTCACGTTCCATTGTGACAGTGGTCCACAGTTTATGGTATTTAGGAGTGAAAAGAATTAAATCTCCCACTGCGTTGAGCTTTATTCGTGTTAAACTTAACAGGAATTATAATCAACATTATTGTTTACATTGTCAGCCAAGTGTAGTAATACAAATTCAAAATTTTTGCACGACGAATTGGGTTAAACAGAATGAAAAGGGAGGAGGATCGACTGTGAAAAGCCTAACCTTGCGAGAAGAAGTATTCCAGCGGGAAGAATCGAGAAACAAGAAAACATTTATTACGGCTCTTGAAAGTTATGAGAAAAGGGATAGGCTGAGGAGAGGACACGTGGAGTTTATATATAGTGCTCTTAAGTTCATGGAAGAATTTGGAGTTCACAAAGACTTAGCTGTATATAAAAAACTCCTTGAAATATTTCCCAAGGGAAAGTTTATTGCCAAAAATATGTTTCAAGTGGAATTCATGCACTACCCAAAGCAACAACAGTGTGGAATTGATGTATTAGACCAAATGGAAAGTTTTGGTTAGTGATTATAATGTATTTTTTTCTAAGTAAAAATAATCAATTATAAGCAGTGCCCCAAAAGGTAGTTGCCCCAAAGCAGTATACTAGCTGCGATGGAGGAGGATATGGTCTGTAGACGTATACTTTCTGAATGATAACTAGAGCTCTATACAACAGATTTTAATCAAATTCATAGGCTTCTAATGATTTTGGGGTTAAAAGGTCAAAGGTTACCATTTGAAGAAATAGAAATTTGGCTTATATACAAAATCAAATACATAAACATCTCTGTTTTTATCAACAGACCAAATCAAACAAAAAGTTTATGATCAGATGATTATTTTTTAAATTTTCGTCTGTTTCAGATTAGTGCACAAGTTAACAGCATATAATCATAACATGTAGACTTATCGAGGAGCTTTGATGCCGTAAGTCATCTGTTACAAATGTGTTCACACCAATAAGATTTAAGTGTGGGGCAACTTATTTGATAGTTTTAGAGCATTGATTTTCTGATAATATGAGTGGATATATTGTAGTTTTCTTCACAGTGTGAATTAGTAATGACAAACTGAAAGTATCAGTACCATACGTTTTTTAGTCTTGTTATCCTTTTAAGTAGTATATTTATTTGGGTATATAATGTTGGCTCACTCTGTACAGATTATTATAATTAGAGGTTAGAAAATCCACTCGCAATCAGAGCTGGGTGATTATTGAAATTTAATGATTGGTTAATTGTCAGGTCTATTAAGTGATTACATTCAACTGATCCTTTTGTTTTCTCATATGAGACTTGGATCGTTGGAATAATTGAAACTAGTAATAACTGGAAGCAGTAATTTCAATTAGTTGATTATTTTTGTAAGTTTAAACAGATTTTGATTCTTAGATTACTTTATGTTAGATTAATTGGTATAACTGATGCTCATAGTAGATGGTTGATTGAGTTCATTGCTCTAATCAGATCTCACCAGATCTGACTACTAAGTAATGGAGGGAAAAAAAGCAATATTTTTAATTAGCTTCGTTCATGCTACAGCAAAAGGAGTTTAATTTGATTGTTTATATTAATAAAAGTACAAATGTTTTTGTATGATGAAGAAATATGCCGAGACAGAAACAAGTACTTGTACATAATGTAAGCTGAAAATTGTAGCAGCAAGTTTGAAAGCGGCTATTAGAACTGAGCAGTTAATCAATTACATATTAGCACCAATTAAATATACTCAATTCATTGATGTTATGATTACATAATCAACTAATTGTATCTGATCTCTACTGTTCTAGATCATTTCAACCATCTAAGTAATAAAAATATTGTTATTAAGATTTTTCATTATCACATTTTATTAATACAAGGTTAGTTTGGCTTAATTGATTAGTGATTTATTTCTTACACCTTGGCTGGTTGGGTGAAAAGTTCTATAATTTATCTGGCTTTCTAACTAAGCTATAAATAGGTTAAAAAAATTCCATCATTACTCAGAGCTTTGCTTCGTTCAACATACAACAGTGTTTTGTTGAAAACTACTGTCTTTGACAGCCAAAAGATAAAAAAAAGAGTGCAAGATGATATTTAATTTTTTTTCTTTTTATTGATTTTAAACATGCATGTTTAATATGTATCGTGTGGGTTAGAAATTACACTTATATTTACAATAAGATAAATGAGCCTTTTTGTAGGTTGGGCAACATTATACAGTAGTCAACATTTGCTAGGGATCATATTTTATTTTTAATATATGTTAAACACCTACCACCACAATGATATGTATAGATTGAACATTTTAAGAAGCAAAACACCTGGATAAGTCATTTTTACACTTTATTAAATTCTGTAACATTTAACTTGGATAACAGAACCAGAGGAACTGATACACCCTGTGGTTCAGTGTTAACAAGAAAAATTTCAAAATCAACAGTCATTGAAAGAAGTGTCCAATTCACAGTCAAGATGATTTCAGTAGTCTGTGTGACCACCTCGAGCATTAATGGCTGCTGCACAAGTCTGACCATACTCATGATCAGATTAGCCAATCGTTGTTGTGGAATCTGTTGCTGTTCTTCAATAAGGGCAGCTTCCAGGTCCTGAAGTGTTCTTGGTGGAGCTTGTAGCCTTGTCTGTAGCTGCTCCCAGATGTGCTCTTTTGGGTTGAGGTCAGGAGACCTAGCTGGTCACTGCATCCTGGGAATTCCTTCAGCTTCCAGGAAGGCAGTCACTGCCCTTGCATGGTGTGGACGCGCATTGTCATCCATAAGCAGGAAGTCTGTCCGTGTTGCACCTGCACATGGATGAACAATGGGTGAAAGGATCTCCTCTCTGTATCTTAGGCTGGTGAGCCTTCCAGTTTGGATGATTACAAGGACGGTATGGCCTGCAATTGAGATGCCTCCCATTTCCATGACTGAGCTTTCTTCAGAGCAATCATATTTGATGACATTCTGAGGCAAGTTGCAATCACCAGGGCATCACCAAACTCTCCTACATCTGTCAAGAAAGTCCACACAGCGGAACTTGTCAGTGAAGAGTAAGGCCCTCCATTGTTGTGCAGTCCTTCTCCTGTGTTCTCTAGCCCACTGCAATTGTGCTTGCCTGTACTGTTGGCTTAAAGGAACATTAACAGCAGGATGTCTAGTCCTCAATTGACCTTTGTGAAGGCATTCAGACTCCTGTGGCATCTTGTAGGGAGTTACGGTGATTTAAAGCTGGAGCAAAGTGATCCCTTCGAGCCTGAATGGTCAAGTAGCAGTCTTATTGTGGAGTTGTTAGTCTTCTCCTTCCTTCTCCATGTCTCCTATTGACTCTGCCAAACCATCTGAACCTGTTCCAGGCCCTGTACACCACACTTTGGGATGTGCCAAGAACATCAGCAATCCTGCATTTAATCATGCTTTCCTGCAGCATTCCAACAACCCTGTTAAGTTCTGCAGGGGGAAGATGATGCCTTTGACCTAAACGAGACATTTTCTACACTGCATAATCTCAATCAGACCAATTTTTGCATTCAATGATCAGTAATCTCAAATTAAAGACCTCACAGTTTCACTGTATGAACTTTCAGTTTGGGGGTATGGTCAGAAAACAAAGTCAGGATCCAATCAAAGTCACCCAGGCAGAAAGTTTGCACTTGGCAGACAATGTCCAGATAATGGACTTCCAAGCTATGTCTTTTTTTTAGAACTGACATTTATTAGTGTACCTATTATGTAAATACATGATCCCCAGAAAATGTTGACTACTGTATCTCAGCAAGTCAAAAACAAAAGAAGTTATTTTATTTTCTGGCCTGTAAGTATTTATAGTTTGTGTTTGTAATTGGTTGGGCACTCTGAAAAACTATTCTTGGCATTGGCACGTGGTATTACCTATCTGTTCTGGAAAGAGGTGAGTTTATCTGAAATACATTTTCAGGCAAGGAAAATGTCAACATTGGCTCTATTCTGCATTCTTTTAATATTTTGTACTTCATATTCGGAAGTTTTGTCTTTGATTGTGCTATGTACGTAGTCACCATCTGATGTTTTCAAGCTTTGAAGGTCTTTTACTAAATTATATAAAGTTTCTCGTTTTGTTTTTCCAACTCTACTTGTTTGTTTCCTGTAGCTGTATTTAATGGTAGTGTTTTAAATTTTGTTTTATGCAGTTACATATAAATTGTGAATCTACATATAACATAACAGATTTTTTTATGCTGATTATAACTGTCATTCACATGATTTGGATTAAAACTTTGAAGTGCAAATTTCTTTTTAAAATTTTTATCTTATATCACCTATTTTTGAAGAAGTAGAAAATTTCAATATTCAAAAGAAAAGTTTGTTTAGAGACGTTCGTAGCGAAGGAAATGTGGACGATTTTGCGGAGCATAAGGAGCCATGTGGAATTATTATATTAGCTGACTGGTATGGTCGATTTAGATATCAGTAAAAAAAATTACTGAGTTTTTTTGTGAAGCCAGGAGTGTTTTGGGTGCATATATATATATATATATATATATATATATATATACTACTTATTATTATTATATATATAATATTTTTACTTAACTA